GCGCCGCCTCGCCGTCGCCGGACCGGTCCATCAGGAGCGCGTTCTCGAACAGCGCCTCGAACGACAGCGGGCTCGCCGCCAGGATCTCCTCGTAGAGCGCGCGCGCGCCCTCGGCGTCGCCGCCCTCGCTCGCCAGGCGCGCCGCGAGGAACTTCCAGTCGGCCACCTCCGGCTGGGCGGCGATGAGGCGGCGGAGGATGGCGAGGGCCTCGTCGTCCTCCCCGAGCTCCAGCTTCTGCTGCAGCAGCGACTTGAGCGCGGCGGTGGCTTCGGCGTTGCTCTCGAGGAGGTCGGCGAGCGCGGCGGGGGCCTCGGGCGGCGGCGGAGGACAGGCGCGGGCGGGGAATTGGAGGGCGACGGCGGCGAATACGGCGGCGCCGGCGAGCGTTTTGAGGTTGGGGAATGAGAGGGGTTTGGAAGAGTGCGCTCTGACGGTGAAGCGAGAGGGTGGGATTCGAGTTGGAGTGAAGGAGAAGATGGAGGAAGCTGTGGAAGTGAACATGGTGAAAATTAGGGTTTATGGAAAGTGTGCGTAGCGGAGAGAGCGATGGTGATGAAGAAGAAAGTGGGGTTGGTGAACCTTGCCTTGGGCCGTGTTTGGGCTTTAAACTTTAAACGTTTAAGGACTTTCGGGTTTTTTTTTTAAATTAAAAATTTTATTTTATGTTAAAACCAAAACACATGTATACTATTAAAATTAAAATTCAAACACATCACCCATGTATAGTAAAACAACAATGTTTCTAAAATCGAGACAAATCTCGAGGGTAAATCAAAAACACGTTTGAGTCTCGCAAACTGTATACACTGAGATCTTTGGTTTTGTCGGAATGGAAACTGCTTTCAATTTCAATATTTTCGTATTTGTTTTTGTTCTCATATTTCATATTCATCCCGTCGTGTTCATATTTGATGGGCATAGAAATTATCTTCCGTCTGTGTCCAGAATGAAGAATATCTTTATTTGTTTTGTAATCATTTAAAATTTAATTAAATGTTTTTTTATAAAAAAAAAACTAAACGTAAAATAATAATTAGAAAATTATATTAATTAAATTTTATTTAATATAAATTTAAAATAAAGTAAAAATTAAAATTTTCAGCAACATTTTTAAAAATTTTATTTTAGGAACTAGAGGTTTTTTTTTTTTTTTTAAGAGTGGGAACTAGAGTTTGTTTTAAGATCCGAATATTGTTTTACCTCGAATTTTGAATTGTCAAAAAAAAAAAATTATCAGTCAGTGGTAGGTGGGAATGGATGCGACTTCTTTTTATTGAGAAAATTGTTTTAATTAATTTAAGAATTAAGAAAATTGATTTATAAAAATGGAAAAAAAATAATATGTATCGACAATGTAATTTTTTTTTACTATTATAATAATATAAGATAAGTTTATTAACTTTAATAGTAATTATTTTAAATATTACACCAAAATTGATTTTTGATTATTTGATGGTTTAAAATATTTTACAATAATAATGTATATTTATTAAAATTGATTAATTTAGTTAATAATAAATTTGTTCACAATTTTATTATTTTTAAAGTAATCTTTTAAAATTATTCAACACTTGTTATTTTATTCTTTTCACTTAATTAATTTTTATGTGCTTGTTATTTTATTCTTTTCCCTTAATTGTTTTTTTTATTTAATTAATATGTGTTGGTTATCTTTACTTTAATCAAATTATAATGACGGTAACATGACTTAAAGTTTTAAACTTAATAATTATGTACAACTCTCATCATCAAGGTTGATCGTAGTGGTTTACATTTATTTTTTATTTAACTAAAAAATATATAAAATAATGAAGAGTACTTTGGTCAAAAAATTAATCGATACAAGAAACACTTCAATCATTAATTTTTAATTCAACTATAATCTTATAAAAGGGGAGCAATTCTTCTCAATTTTCGTAGAAGTGTATTTTAATATTATTTACAAATTTATTACGAGATTGTCTATTTTGGAACTATATGTTTACGAGAATGTAAGATTAAATCATCATAATGTGTCTCTTTATGTGTCATTATATGTTAATAAATTTGGTTGGTAAGCAAAGGAGAATTTACATGTGCAAAAATTCTCATCACATTGAGTGTGTCTTCATGGTATCTACATGACTCAAATTAGGGACTCTCTAATTAGTCATGTCAAATGTGAGTTGAATGGCATCGGACATGATGAAAGAGAAATATCTCTAACTTAATCACTTCAAACGTAAGTTGAATGATGTCGTGCATGATGAGAGAAATGTCTTTGACTTGTTGATGTCGGGCCCTAGTTGAGAAGTGTGAAGTGTAATCAAGACAGATGTCAGTTTAGTGACATCATACATGAGTCAGGCAAAGATTCTTTTCTTGAGTGAGGTTAGGCGTGGATTTTGCCACACCAAGCATGAGAGACTAAGAAGCTTTCTGTCTCATCCATACTCCAAACAAATGGATATGTGTCAAGCACGAGTGAGACAGAAAAGCTCTATGTCTTAATAGTGTTGGGCGTGCAGGTGGCATTGGACATTAGTTAATTTATAAAATGTGATGTTTTAAGTTGTTTAATAGTTGAAGAATGATGTAAGGTTGTATGATATTTTATAGTTGATTAAGTTGTTAGGCATGTGGTGAAGATATATGTCTTGGTTGAGATACATAAAAAAAAACTAGAGGATAGTAAAAGTTGTTTTAAAAATTAAAATATTTCATTGTGTGGATATAAGTTATGGTGCTCCGAGAGCCTAAGTTAAGAATCCTTCAATAAATAAGTTGGTTTTTGAATGGGTAGTTGTTTTAAGTTATCTCCTTTAGGTTTTATGTGGAAGATGTATGGGATCAAGTTGAACCATACATGTATTAAGTGACTAATTGAGTAAAGTATGAAGTCAAGGAATAAAATCCTTAACCGATTACTAGAAGGGTGCCTAATACTTTAAAGGTAGTCGATAAGCTAATCTCATAGAAAATTCAGTTTATGCATGCTAATGTTATAGTAGACTCACACCCAAGTTGTTATACCCTGGTAGTAGTACTAGAATTTCCTAATTTAAGTAGCGAAACCTGATAAATCAATTGAACTTGTATATTTGACACTTTGAGAGATTTAAAGTTGTCTTTACTTGACATGGTTGGGATAAGTCAGATATTGTGGTTCGATAAGGTTTAGCTACTTAAACTGCTTACCTTTATTGTATGTGATCTTTATAACTGATGTGTGATGACACATTACTTGTTTATTGGTTTTCATGTTGAGAATGTTGGTTGGTTAAAGTTGTTAAGTCGTGTTGTGTAGTAAGATGTATGTGTTGTAATTGGTAATAAGTTGAACATGTGTTGTAAGATAATTTGTTGTTGTTCAAGTTACTTATGTTGTCGTTCTATGTTGAATTTTTTCACAAACTTATCATTTCTTTTCCTTGTGATTAAAATTGCAATGGTCATATATAATATGAGAGCAAGACATAGTTAACAAGATGACTTGGTTAGCTAGTGGAGGGTCATGCTAGTGATGACCTGAGTATGGTAATGCTACTTTGATGTGACATATTTGTTGTATAGACGCTTGACTAATGATTAAGGATCTTTTGTACACAATTATGTAGTTTATGTAGATGATATATGTGTACATGGTGTATATATAATCCTATAAATGGATTTATATTTTCGGGTGATTTTGTTTTTTTATCGTATACATGTATAGATTGCATGAATGACCAAATAACTATTACATGAAAACCTTTGGGTAGTTGACTATTGTTTAATATTTACTATTATGTAATATTGTATTGTATTGAATGTAGTGTGACCTGTCAAATAATTATAATAACTAAAGATTAATTGAGATGAAATTAAAGTTTACGATGCGTTTTGTTTGTTTGAAAAGAAATAAAGTTTAGAGAATTTAAGTACTTTTTCTTAAATACTTAGTATAATTAATAAAAAGTGAGACGACATTAATTTACACTTAAATGCTCTTTTTTTAATTACATTTCAATAACTATCATTACGTATGTATTAAATAAATTAGATCATAAGTGCTTAATAAGTTGTTAATAACTTTTTATTATTGTATTATATTAAATGTAATGACTTGTCAGTTAGTTATAACAATTAAGATCAATTAAGATGAAATTAAAATTTAAGATAATTTATTTAAAAAGAAATAAAGTTTTGAGAATTTAAGTAATTTTTTTCTTAAATAATTAGTATGACTAAAAAAAAGTAAGGTGGCATTAATTTGCACTTAAATGCTTTTTTAATTATATTTTAATAGCTATCATTACGTACGTATTAAATAAATTAGACAGTAGGTATTTAATGAGTTGTTAATTTTTTTTAGAACTAATGAGTTGTTAATGATCACTATTTTTTTTATCTATATATTTGATAACTCGTATTTGATATTGTAAAAGATTAATTTTTGTTAAAAATAGTTATGTTATGCGGAATTCAAAGGGCCGAAAAATCAGTTGTGCTGTTTGTTCATTTGACGTTCATAATTATTAGTATTTTAATATACGTGAAGTTAAATATTTATTATATATAACTAAAATTTAAAATAAATAATATATAAATAAATATTATATTTAATATATAAAAATATATTTTAAATTTATGATAAATAATCAAATGCTATATATTTTATATGTTTTTATTTATATATATATATAATTTATTAAAAATTTTAGTTATATATAATGAATATTTAACTCGTTTATTGTACAAATTAAAATATCAGTTTATATTATAATACATGATTATTTTTTTATAATTTGTTTTAAAAATATTAAAATTTAATTTAAATAAAAATTAACTTAGATAAAAGGTTAAATAGATAAAAGGTTAAAAGAATTTCTAAAAAAAATTGTTTAATAAAATTTTTTTAAAAAAATTTCACACTCTCAATATCGATCCATATTTAATATTTAAGAATGGGTATGATTAATTTTTAATTCTTATGAAGATAACTTGAATTAAGTTTAATTGGATCAAACTCCTTGCCAACACTATTAAACATAAACAAAATTTAAATGAAAAAATCTATGAAGACCAAAACATATAAAATAAACTAAAAAAATCAAAATAACTATATTATACAAACTAAAAAGTACTTTAAGCATAAAATAATTATAGTTATACATTTAGTATATTTACTTGTGTTAAAGTTTGTCATGTGAATACAAAAAAAATAACATAAAAAAATTAACATAGAAATTAAAAAGATTAAAAATTTGTAAATATAAAAATTAAAATATTTATTTTAAATTATATGTATTAAAAATGATTGAAATGATAAGTAAGATTAAAAATATCTATTTTAAATCATAGTTATCAATTTTGGATAATAAAACAGTCTATCCCAAAAGTAAGATAATGGAATTGTAGATAGTTGAACGACTATTATTCTAATATTATATTTATATATTAAATAAATAATATATATATATATATATAAACTAAAAAAATAAAAATAATACTAAATTCACACATTAATTATTTTTAATAATAAAAGTTCATATTACTTAAACAAAACATAACATAAAATGTCTAAAAAAACAAAATGGTAAAGCTTAAATCATCTATAACATAATTAAAGCTCTAAGTAACTAA